TTTTTTATTTTTTTTCTTTCTACAAAAAACGTAAAATGCGGGAAATTCCGTAAATTAAAAACTTACAATCCGGGTAAAATTAACATTGGAGGTATACGGAAAAACTGGGTCCTAATGAAAAAAACGTAAAATGCGGGGAAAACGTAAAATCGGGGGACGTAAAATCGAGGTTTCACTGTATTGATAAATAGATAATTAATATTGATATAATAGTGAATAAATAGATTTGTTCATCTATTATTAATCCCATGAAGTGCATTTAACAAAGTGCTATGAACAGGATGCGTTTTCAACTAAAAAAAGATAAAACTTATTATTTAAGTTCATAGTTAAAAAAGTGAGATCATGAATTTTTTGCTAAAACAAGTGAAATAGGCTAAAACTTTTATTTTTATCATAAAAAATATGGAATAAAATTGTCTTTACTACAATTATACTTCCACTGCCTAGTTTAAGTTATAGGTTATTCATTTTTTTTATGAACTGATTCACCCAATCACTAATGTGGGTATTCACTATATGTCTAGTTATTGACAAGTTTTTGTCTTTCCCTCATTTACAAACAAACTACTATCCTTAATCAGAAAAAAAGGCAGAAAAAACTACTACTACCATGGATTTCAAAAACACAAAGCTCATCCCTTTCATAAACCAAAAGAGGTTTCCACTATTAAAATTGTTCAAAAATTCCAAAATCTTCATACAAAAATGTATGAAAATAATTCCTCTGACAATCAAGCATGTTACTGTAACTAAGAGATTTTCACCCTAAATGTGGAAAACATGGAGAGAAAAAAAAAAGAGAAACTTCAGAGAATCTGGCTAAATTTAAAATGTTGGCAAGTCTGCAATATATATTAGAGCAAAATTTAAAAAAAAAAAAAAAACATACTGTTTTATGAATAAATTTATTTCATTTAAACTGAACAAACTGTTTCAGTCAGGTTACTTTACAAATTCACTTAGTTTAAATTATTAGAAAGTATAAAAGATATTTTCTAAATTAACTCAATCAAACTGAACTTTTGTTTGAACAGGATAGAAGTTATAAAACATTGCATTGAGGAGTAGAAAATGTATTAGAGAACAGGAATTTTGGAAACAATTTAAACAAACTAAATTCCATTTTATCAACAGAAATATTTATATTTTAAACATATGATTCGTGAGAGTTATGTTACCATCCACTCCATTAATAGCTATTTACAAACTACAAGAAACTACAAATGCCGATGGCTGGCAATTTATTTTCTATACCACATCTGTACTTGGTTCATTCTCTTGATTTTTTTCTGAAGCTGCAACACACCATAAAGAAGTGCTTCTGCAGTTGGTGGACAACCTAGAATTAAAAAAAAACTTTATTTGCAAAGAAAAATTCTTGGTAATAAAAACTAATTTATGAAAAAAATGTTAGGATTCAATTCATTCAGGTTAAAAATGTTAAATTTCATTTATTTTTATGTTACTCCAGTTAAACTTCTCCGTTCCAAAGTAAAATGCTCGTTGATGGAGTTTGGTTGTTGTTAGAGTTTACCTCCATTGACTTCAAAATAGTTCTCAAAGGTGCATGATATTTTTGCAAATGATCTTAATTTCAGTCTGTGTCATTTTTGTTGGCGCCATAAAAAGACGGAACGAAGAATAAAATTTAGCATCTATAAAAATGATCCCAATTACGTGTAAAAACAAATTTACCAATTATGATTAATAGAAATATTTTTAATAAATAAAAAATTATGTTTTTCGCTCAAGTTTGCATTTAGTTTTATACCAAAAAAATTAATTAGCTTTAAAAGATAAGAAGAGTTTTGTTTGTTTGAGATGCTTGTTTTTTCTAAAATAACTTTTTCTTTTTATAACTTAACTTTCAACTCTTTTTAGTGCCCTCTGACTACAACATGAGGTTGAATCATCAAAAAGAGCTCTCTAAATAAGAGCCCTACACAAATATTTTGAATACATTTTATTCTACTTATTTGGTTTGTTAATATTTTTTGTGCGGATATTTTTTTTCATGTTTCCTTATTCGACTATTTTCGCATTGGGTGCAGATGTTTGCCCAGTTGCTAGGAGAAGTTTTAATGGTCTCTCCTAAAGGTTTTATAAGGTGCATAGCCAAATCTTAAAACAAAAAATAAGCACCTTTTAAGTACTTTTTAAGCATTTAAAAAATATCTTTAAGCACTATATACATAAACAAAATGCAAAATAATTTTCAAAGACTTTACTTGATTATTATAAAATAACTAGTTTTTGACAAAGAACTCTTTTCTTGATTATATTAGCCATTATAAAATGATCGAGAGATTATTCGGTTCGATATCAGGGGGTGGAAAATGAAGTCTGAATTTGAGAATATCTTGCAAAATGGAGCAGAGTTGCGCATGATAGGGCAATAATCTCACCGAATCCAGCTCAGTAGACGCTCGCACGGACTCGCAAGTATTTCTTTAAACATGCAAAATGATTGACGCTTTCATATACTATGGACCGACGGTTGGATTGTGGTGGATTGTCGAAATGGGTTGTGGTTGAATGAATTGTGAAAACGTTGAATAGAACAATGTGAAAAGCACGTTTTTGCATAATATCTGGCAAAAATCGACAGAGTAAAGGAAACAAATTCCATTTCTGAAAAGGGAAAACTAAGCACTTTTTAAAAACACCCAATGAAAAAAGCGCCTTTAAGCACTTTTTAAAAATGCTACGCACCTATCAGAAAAATTCTGTGCCTCCCAAAAGTAGTCATAAATAGAGGTGGTCGCTACATGGAGGTGGTCTTCCCTGCAGGTTTCACTGTATAAACTTAGAAATTTAAATCTGAAATATATTAGGTTAGTGCTGCCAATAACTAGACAATGCATATACTGTTCACCGGACTCAACCCATCTGAGTACCGCGATAAAATATCCCCAGTGGTAGACAAATCATAGGCTAGAGTACCCTTGTCATTCAGTTAATTGCAGAAAGTTTTTGTGGTTTTCCTTTCCATGTAACACAAATTTGCTCTACCAATAAGTCCTCTATCACAGTGAATTATTTCTCCAATGACTGATCTAAGAGTTTACCAGACATTTGAGTTGTTGTTCTATATTGATCTATATCAAGTAATGTTGTTCAGTTACATTACTTGATATAGATGGGTAGTTAATAATTAGCAACAAAACAAAACATAAATCTGCAAAAAAACTTTTAAAATAAAATTCAGGAAATTTACATATACATTCAATAATATTTTTTTTATAAAAAAATTATAAAGGAAAATAATTACCAGGCACATAAATATCAACAGGTATAATGCGGTCACAGCCCCTTACAACTGCGTAGGAGTAATGGTAATACCCGCCTCCATTTGCACAACTCCCCATTGAAATAACCCATCTTGGCTCTGGCATCTGATCATAAATCTACAAATAAAAAACATACAATACAGACATGCTTTAAAGAAAAAGGTAATGATTATGTAATTGTAGTTTCACTGAAATATATACCAGATAATACAAAAGGAAAAAAAATTCAGTAGATTTAAAAAAAAAAACATTAGACATTTTAAGCCAATTCTAGCATAGTATATACAGTCAAACCCAGCTGTAGTGAACATGGTTTATAGAGAACTCCTGGATATAGTGAAGGAAATGTTCGCTCCCGTGCCTTGCTATACACAAATAATATTATTTTTTGTGGTTATAGAGAACCAAAAAAAGAGAGGAAAGAGATTATGAACCTTTTTTTGTCTTCAACTGATTTTTTTCTCTTCATTTTTTGGTAATTTTTAAATTTCTACAAAAAATACATATCCCGATATTTAAAACCATTTATGGAGTGGAATGTTGCCATAAGCAATTTTTCTTGTTCGCTTCTTCTATCTCAGTTTCCCATCCCTAAATTTCTAGTACGAAAGACGAACAGTTACGAAAAATAAAAGTTAACACATTTTTTTTGTTACTACATATTAATTTTGAAACATTTTTGTATTTTCTTTTATCGGTCATTTACTTAGCTAATGTGTAACAAAAGGGAACAGTTCGGAAAAATTAGTTAAAATTGTTTGCAGTATGGATATAACGAACTCCCCGGTATAGTGAACCCAAATTTCGGTCCCTTGAAGGTTCACTATACCGGGGTTTGACAGTGGTATAAAAACAGAGGAAAGCTTTAAAAATCAACGAAAAGAAAAAGAAACATAAAAAATTATATTACACTACAAATCAAATGTGAGTAATGAGGTTTTTAGTTTTTGAATTAACATTAAATTGTAATTAAAAAAGAAACTGCAATATGTGTTACAATACAAAACAAAAATTGCTTCTTACATTAATAATTTTGAATTAATGACTGTGAAAAAAAGGAAAACATTCAAACAAGTTATTATGCATGAAAAAGTATTTTTTTAAAATTTATTTTCCATTTGACTATCATTTCATCATTAGTAGTAAATATTACTTTAATTTTAAACAATAATTAAGACAATTAAAAAATAATTACTTTGATATTTTTTTTAGAATTTTTAATGTTTTAAATTTTTTTTTTAAGTATACTAAAAACCAGGAGAATTTTTTTATTAAACTAAAAAAAAACTGTAAAAATTCAGTAGCAATGAATTAAATTAATACAGTTTTATGAGTAAACAAAAGATAATAGGAGTTTTGGTTCAAAAATAAAGGACTACTTTTTGAAAGCAGTAAGTTGCAACCTGCTAGAATTTAACAAATATTAATGTCTATAAGAACATATAGATCTAATAAAATAATGAATTTTTCATGAATGCACAACTTTCCATTTTTTGTAGCATTTGCATATGACAGTTACATTTTCATTCTATCACGATGTAAATAACTCATAATAACAATTATTAAAGAACAATCAAAAGAGCAATAATATTACAAAATAGAAAAATTTGGTTATTTTTTAAAAATAGTTTTCTTTTGTAAAGAAATAAAAAGTCAAAAAATGGAAACGACCATATCTTTTTCGATCGCAAAAGAATGTAATGTGAAGCCATTAAGATATTTTTGACAAAATTCAAAAAAAATAAATAATGATAATAAAAGAATGAGTGAAAAGTTTTTAAAGAAAGTTGTTATTACAAGTGAATATTATTGACAGTAAATAAAGAATAAGAACTCAGTGTTAAGTGGGAAACAATTTGGTTTAAATGAAAACTGTTCATAAAAATATGTTTCAAGTTTTTGAATATAGGGCAATTGTGAAGCCAGAAAACTCAAAGTAATTCAATAACTTTATAAACTTAAAGTGGTCAACTAACAATATGGATTTCACAAATAATGATTACTCACTAAGTAAACAATGATTACTCAAATGGTCTGATGTTTGTAAGGTATAATACTAGCAAAGTTTGTTATTTTTTTTTAAAGGAAAAATGGGACATTTTAAAGTTTTTTTTTGAAAATACATTAACAACTTTTTTTGAAATTACTAAAACTTTTTAAAATATATATTGAAACATTATTAAATGAAATAAATCATCACTGTATATTTCAATTAAAAAAAATCATTGTAAATAAAAAAAAATCATTTGATATAATACATTATACAATATTTAATTTATCAAACTTTGCTAAAAAAAATTTTTTAATCTAAATAACAAAGTTATTCNTTGAAATTACTAAAACTTTTTAAAATAAATATTGAAACATTATTAAATGAAATAAATCATCACTGTATATTTCAATTAAAAAAAAATCATTGTAAATAAAAAAAAATCATTTGATATAGTACATTATACAATATTTAATTTATCAAACTTTGCTAAAAAAAATTTATAATCTAAATAACAAAGTTATTCTGAAAATTTTAATTGATACTGATCTTGTGCTTCTAAGGAATAATTAAGACATCATTTAGTGATATGCAGTCTTACAACTAAATACTTGTTTCTGGACACTTTTTAAACAATAAAAAATAACAAATTTCTTTTTTAAAGTTGACTACCCCTGTTGTTATGCGTAAGTTGATATATATATATATATATATATATATATATACAGGGCCGGATTAACCTATAGGCACACTAGGCACGTGCCTAGGGCCTACGAAAAACTTGGGAGAAAAAAATTTGTTGACAAAAATAATTTAGCTTTAAAAACAACAAGTGTATTTTGCACAAAATTATGAAGATACAAATAAAAATATAATATTTTTTGGTAATAAATTATTTTGCAGAATCTTATGATCTTACTTTTTTTCGATTTTTGGATTCAACGAAATCTTGTATTATGCTGTCGAATTCCAAACTACGCAAAATGTCGTATTCAATAGACATAAGTGCGAGCGATGCCAAATGATCTTGATTCATTGTTGAACGCAAATAATTTTTTATCANATATATATATATATATATATATGTATATATATATTTACATATATGTATGTATAACGTCATTGCCAAGTGGAAGGATAAAAACAGGTCTTAGGCAGGGAAGGAGGGTACAAAATTTATTTATTAATTATTAGACACAGAGATCGCTTATCTAAGTGTACACGAAATTGGTGCGCTCCTCAATATCAGTTGGGGGAAATTTTTGAAAAGAAAATCCGTAAAATGTCTCGTTTTAGGGAATAAGGGAAATCTTAGTAATTGTAATTGGTTTATAAAAAAGGTCGCACGATTCCCACAAAGAGCAAAGGGAAAAATGTCTTAATTTCATTTAATGCATACTTCAGCCAAAAATAGATTAAATGAGAGGATGTGAATTTAAAAGTGTGAGAAAGCGCTTGGATTTGAATTTTAAATTAAGAAAAGGATTTACAGAAAAGGAATAATATAAAAAGATTAATTGAAGCTTTTTATGTTACATATATATACGCACACACACATACAGGGTATTTATAATTACAGTTCTACTTTGAAATGGTCATAAGAGGAAAACTAAGGGACCAAATGCAATTCAACTTGGTAATAGTTTAAAGAAGGTCGTGAAATTTATTTTCCGCAAAAAAAAAACAAAAAAAAAATCCCCACCCGACAAAAAATGGCTCTGAATGCAATATTGCTAAATGAAATAAGATATGAAGTACCTATACCTTCAATATTACTATTCTTAATTCAATATTACTTCTTACTTCTTCAATATTACTATTATATATTCTTAAATATATATATATATATAAATATATACATATATAGACAGGGATTGGACAAAATGGAAGCACCAATAAATTACAAACGGAAATTAGTGTTTTTCATCACCGTATGCCAAAAAATGTAGGAATAAATATGTAATTTGTAAAATTTTTTTGGTTATTACATGCAATAATTGCACACAATTTTGGAACCTAGGAATAGAGTGTTCAAAAACACTAAACAAATTTCTCTCTCTCTCTCTTTATACATATATAGAGAGAAACTTATGAGGAATATACTCTGAATATTAATGACACTGAATTTTAATAGTGATCATTATCAGGCAACTTTTGTTTAGATTTTAATTATAAATGTTTGCATTAAAAATGCACTATTCTGTTCTTTGCATAATATTATCATCATCATTATTATTTTTTGATTATTTGAAACTTATTTTTTAATGTGATTTTCTTCAGAATGTCTGCACTGTTAATGATGCTTCACATCAAATGAAAAAGTATCTTTATTCATGAAAGAGAAAGTTAGGCTCTGCTTACTTTCAATTTCTTTATTATATTTTATCATACCAAAGTTCTAGTTTATTAAAAGCTATTTCACTAATAAGAAAACATTATTATAAGAAATTGACCTTAATTATTATTATTACTTTTTTTTCCTTCCTGATTTGATCTTTGCTTACTTTAAAAAACTATTTCCAACAGTTGCCAAAGTTGCAACAGTTCTTATTATATGACTTTTGATAGTTTAAACAAACGTCATTGAGTGGCTCTAAAACCAAATGTTTTTTTATTTCTTTTCTGAAGCCCATTTTTAAAAAATTGTTTGCTCAGTGTTGTGGGAAGAGTAGTTATCGATAATGTCAACCTTCCTCTATGAAAAGGTACCCCACCATAGAATCGAGTTAACATGTCTTATATACTAGTGAATTGGAATTCTTGGAGTGGTAGATACACTACAGTACTCCCCTACCAGAATTTTATCTGTGATAGAATTCAATGAATGAAATACCGCTATTTGATTAATTTCTGTTTTGTGAGAAGTCGGGAGATCTGTATTAAGATCATCCTATTTCTGCTGATCGTGAGAGCTGAGATTTTTCCTGTGTTGCCTTTAGCAGTTGAGTATATGTTGTGTGTGATCGAGACTGAGTAACAACAGCGCGAAGAGGTGGATAATGTCACAGTCACAAGTAGTAAGTCAACTGTTCAATGTGGACCATCCAATGAAGTAGGCGTGTTCAAATCGTACAGGACGTTTCTGCCAAAGTAGATGTGTTCACATCACGTCTGGGTCACCAATGTGGGAAGTGTAGTTATCGACAATGTCAACCTTCATCTATGAAAAGGTATCCCAACATAGAATTGAGTTAACATGTTTTATATGCTAGTGAATTGGAATTGTATTTTTGTAGTGGTAGATACACTGTACAAAATGAAATTACCTTCCTTAATGCTGGAGCCATTTTGTTGGTGAGTGTTCCAGCAACAATTATAACATCTGATTGCCTCGGACTAGCTCTAAAAACAACCCCAAATCTGTCCATATCGTATCGAGGGGCAGCCATGTGCATCATTTCCACAGCACAGCACGCTAGTCCAAAAGTCATGGGCCACAAAGAATTCTGCAAAAAATTAAAATAACTTAAGAAAACTGTAAAAAACAAAAGTTAAATTACAAACAAAAAACTCGAATCAGATCTTTTAATCCCTATTACATGATTGCTCTTTTCACAGATTTTAAGTAACGAAAATACAGTAAAAGTTTAACTATCTAGTATGCATAGGAATCGGCAAATTTTATATACTAGAACACTAAATTTCTAGATTTTTAATAGTACCTTATTTTCAGACAAAAAAAGAAAAAAAAAACAAAAAAAAAACTCTCTAACTTGATGGGGAAAAAAAGCTATCACAGTTAATGTTTATGAATATAAGTCATCAGCATGCTTAATAAAAGTAAGAACTTATGATTCCAACTGAAATAGTTGTTTGCCCAGGAAATGTCCTTGTTGTAAAGATAAAATGACGATTTATAAAGAGTATGATGATGAGGAAGTCATCACATCAAGTTTGTTTCAAGTCAAAAAGTGGGCCAATTATCAAGTAGTTTTGAGTACAAATGAAGTAAAACATGTTCTTAGGTTAATGGCCACCAGTGCAATATAGAAACAGAAAAATGTTTTATCTGATATCACAACATATAACACAGCTCTAAACTTTTCTTGGAACTATAGTGAATCCGGACGTGGAAAAGGAACCCCCGATGGAATTGGAGTTGTTATGAAAAGAACATCAGATCGGACGGTGGCAGAAGGAAAAGATGCGCATAATTATGAGACACTTGTTTCTGTATTAACCCCTTCCTTCTCGCTCCCATGATATTTCCAGGTCGGAGTGTTCAGTAGTTAAGCTCTAATAAGAATAATTCATTTCTTTTGCCCGGAAAACATTTTATTTCTCATTTTATACACCAGATGGCAGTACCAGGATATTTTTAAGGTAATTGTAGATAGTTAGTTTATTTTAAACTAGATGTCAGCACTAACTAAATGCGCAATACAAATACAAAAGCCAAAAACATAGGCACTTTTATAACCGTTTTCTTGAAAATTAACCGATCATTAAGGGGTTAAAAGAAAATTGCTTAGTACAAATGAAGATATAAAAAAATGTAATAAATTAATAGAGGCAAAAATTAAATTATTCACTGGCACTATGAAAGATCATCAAGTTCCATACAGTTCAAAGTATAATATATTGAATTTTCACTTTCTCTCTAATGTTTTGCATGTGATGCATCAATTTTGTGTGAACATTATAATTTGGGAATTGCAAATGAGTTTGAGTCTATAATCTCTGTTCCATTATGTGCTAGCAAAAAACAAAATACAGAGAAGTTCAAAATGGGAAATTAAGTTCTAGTTGAGTATGAACAAATTTTATACCACAGAGAAGTAAAGACCTTACATTCAAAAAATGTACTAACAATTGATGCAATGGTTTCAAGAAGTGTAAGGAAATGGAAATGGCCATTTCCAAATGATATACATATCTACACAAAATCAGACATCAAAAGAAGAACCCTATCACCCATTCCAAGGCCAACAATCATGGCAGCTAACTCTATTTCACAAACATGTAAAAAACTGGTAAAATTGTAAAACTAAATTATAATACAATCAGACTTCTATTTAACAAAATTCCATTTTGCAAATTTTTTTGAGGAACCAAGAATATTTTGGAAATTTCTTCGTAAAATAACTTCCAAATAGAGAAGAGAATTTTCTATTTAACAAACTTCTCTTTGAGATCCACTTTCCTTATTTCCCAAAATATTTCAGAACATTTTTAACACATTTTATGGGGGAAAGACCTTGAATTGATTTTTGAAGCCATTTAACTTTTGGAGAAAGCAGTGAAATACCTTTCTCTTTTTGTTTGCATTTCAAATGAAAAACTCAGACAAAATTAACCGATTTCATCAGTAGCAATTAAACTTATCAACACGTGTGGTAATGCATGTTTAAAATTACTTCTATAATAAATGCAGCTATAATTTTAAACATAAATTTAGCTTTTTTTAGTTGAAAATGTATGTAGCATGTTAGTGTAACACTGGATAATCTTTTGCTTTATTCTTGCTTACCAAACAGATTTCTTTTATGGTTAAGATTTATAAAATAAATAGTAAATACTAGTTTACAAGATAAAGGTACATCAATTGTTATTTTAATTATATCTAGTGTTTATGAATTTAAAACCTGTTTTGTGTCGTTTAAGTAATTCGAAAGGTGGTTTTCTATTTAACGAATTTTCCACATAACAAACTTATTATCGAGATTTAACGACTTCGTTAAATAGAGGTCCGACTGTATATAGATAAAATATGCTTAGTATGTTATCACTTTCAAACTTGAGACAGCTGTAATTTTTGAAGTTAAAAAAACAAAACAAACCTGTATTCAAATAAAATATCATTCCCTCACCATTAATGTCATTCTCTGATTTTTTAAATAGTGAACTTAATTAATTTATTTAAGTATTAAGCATAATTTAAAGGATATATATTGTTTCCTATAATGCCATTACATATATCTATTAATATAAAACGTTTCAGAACTTTTGCATTTGCTTTTTTTGGGGGGGATTTTAAGAACTGAAAATGACAGTTTTCATGAGAATGACCTATATATACTAAAAAAAGTTAATAAAGTGAATTCAAGTAAAAAAATTATAATGTAAAAAACATATAATGTTCACTAATAGGATGATGGTTGATATACCAGGGAATAATTGGTTATAGGGGGACTATTTTACTGTGATCTAAGTTTAATTTAAGTGTTTCTGGACCAATGGACCATTGTTAACGAATCTTTGTTTCTTTATCTCAAATGTATCCAAAATACACAGTTTCAATAATTAAAGTTTTAAAAGTCTTATTTACCTTTCGAGCCCAGTTCAATAGATCATCTACTCTAGCAAGAGCATATTCCAACTTATTTGTGGTATTTTGAAATGGAGAATAAGGACCTCTCTTCACTGGTACAGAGTCAGCTTGCTGTACTGACGTACTTTGAGCATTTACACAACTCACACTTAGAGCTCTGGAAAATATCTGTTTCCCAAAACTGCCCTTCATAACTAAAATAATACAAAAATAGTTAAATTTTACAAAAATAAATAGAAATTTTTGCAGAAAGTCAGGGCAGACTGGCTGGTTTGGGAGATTTTTCACAAATTTTCAAAAACAGGACTTAATTTTCAGAAGTTCACAAAATTATGAGTAGATTTTTTTTTTATAAAAATAGGACCTCTCACTAAAAGTCAGAACAAACCCTTGCCTATAATGCAGAAGTATAATATTTTTTACTACACCCATAAAATAGAGAAATACACTTGACTAAAAGTGCTTTTCTAATCAAAAACTAAATTAGGAAAGAAAGAAAAAATTGTACAAGGAAGGTTTAGAGTGGGCTAAAATACTTTTCCTCTGTAAAATTAAAAAAATAAGATTGAGAATTTTGTTTATTGATTTTAAAAAAAATTTCAAATTGTAATGAATAATTTCAATTTTTTACAAAGAAATTTAAATATTTCCTTAACTTTTTTCATTATATTGAATTTTTTTTTTTTTTGTTTACTTGTCCAGATCACCACACATCTTGAAAAAGCCTTTCTTTTTTGATAACTTTTAAATGTTACCATGAATTCCAATTCTTAAAGATTTTTTATGAAGTTTTTTAGGTTTTCCAAATCTAGATCTATCAGGGTGCGTAGCCAAATCTCTCAACAAGAAATGAGCACCTTTTAAGTACTTTTTAAGCATTCTTATCAAAGTTTGGCCATTTTTACAAAGAAATTTCAATATTTCCTTAACTTTTTTCATTACATTGAATTTTTTTTTTGTTTACTTGTCCAGATCACCACACATCTTGAAAAAGCCTTTCTTTTTTGATAACTTTTAAATGTTACCATGAATTCCAATTCTTAAAGATTTTTTATGAAGTTTTTTAGGTTTTCCAAATCTAGATCTATCAGGGTGCGTAGCCAAATCTCTCAACAAGAAATGAGCACCTTTTAAGTACTTTTTAAGCATTCTTATCAAAGTTTGGCCATTTTTACAAAGAAATTTCAATATTTCCTTAACTTTTTTCATTACATTGAATTTTTTTTTTGTTTACTTGTCCAGATCACCACACATCTTGAAAAAGCCTTTCTTTTTTGGTAACTTTTAAATGTTACCATGAATTCCAATTCTTAAAGATTTTTTATGAAGGTTTTTAGGTTTTCCAAATCTACATCTATCAGGGTGCGCAGCCAAAGCTTTCAACAAAAAATGAGCACCTTTTAAGCACTCTTATCAAAGTCTGGCCATAAATAAGTTTAAGAAAATTAATATCATGACAGAAACAAAGCATAAGGTTTACCATGTTTTGAGTGTTATCCTTTATTTGTGTAAAATATCACCATTTGTTATTTCATTACATCATAAAGTGTTTGCGGAGTTGTCCCAATTCGTTTGTTTCTTTTAAAGTTAAATTGAAAGAATGTGCAATATGATGTAAACACTACAATTAATATGATATTGGATGGCAGGCTTTTTCAAGTTTAGGCATAAAATTGTAGTTATAGCCATCCTCTAAACCCCCTTCTTTAACCTCCAGGTGAAAATAATAAGGGTAGTTATGAATGGTAAATATCATATACCGCAGTGAAATTTTGTTGGAAAAAGAACATGAAAACTGAAAAAAAAAACAGAAAAAAAACATCACAGAAAGGGACACACTCGAATAGTAAAACACGTAACGGGGCGATTTTCGTATCTGTGGCAGAATAATTGACAAGTCTTGGCAACTTTCAGGCAGAAGCCTGCAAGAAACTAAAAAAAAACATAATAGAAAGGGACCAACTCGAAAGGTATAACTCATAATCACCCCAGGGCAAACATCTACACGTTTTTTTATAAAAAAATTTGCAAGTTTAAAACCTTGATACCTTGGCGAATGTAGTTGGCAAGATAGATCACGATGCAGAAATATCCCCTTCTTTTTTAAACAATAGAAATGATTATACAACTATAATTAAAGAGCATAAAACTGGTTAGTTCATTTTTTGTTCCATAGAGTTTGCACATCATGGAGTAAAATATAATTTAATACTGAGCTCTGAACAGAAAAAATTTACACTGAAAAAACAGAACGAATAAAAGTAAGACATGGTATGTTTTAATGACAAAGTCTGCTATGCAGAGAAAACGAATCTGAATAATAATAAAAAATATATTATAATAATTATAAAACTAAAAGTAAGTAATGAAAACAAAAACTATCAGTGCGTCATAATTTTATGTTCTCTGACAGTCAAAGAATATTAGAAAGATTCGATTTATAAACCACATCTAATAAGAAATATATTAGTTTAAAGAAGAAAAAAATACTATATTTTTGATTAGAGAAAAACAAAATAAAAATATCGGGCTTACAAAACGCTTAACTCTTAATTTAAAAGAATAAGACATTTAGAAAAAAAAAATCATTTTAACTTTCCTAAAATATTAAACGTTTCAATTAATAATTAGCGGTACTTACTATTGGTTACCAAAGCCATTATTTTAATTTAGTTATATAAAACCACAAATCCACAATGTCAACAAGTTCAAGTTAACAAACAATCATCAATAACATCAATATCAATCAATTTTAAACCCAGTAAGCTGTAAGCAATTATTGTTAATATTTTCTATGAATTTTCACGATCGTTTGAGCTAAGCAGAAATAAAAAACAGGAAACGTAAGGAATTGCATTAAAGCAGACGAGCTATTCATGTAAATAAAGGAATTCGAAAAGAGAAATTAAAAATTGTTAGATTATGGAAGGAGATGAATATGAAGATAATGCTTCAAACTCTCCTCTTTCGGTCGATTCAGCCATACAACAAGATATACCTATTCCAAATGTTGCTTATATTCATAGTTCCGAATTCGAGATGCATTTAAATAAACATCCAAGATTGTATGGAGCGGTATGTTGTTAAAGATTTTATTTTCCTAGGTTATGAAATCTATTCTAGTTAATTTTTATTTCAACGCGTACTTTAGTACCAATTGATTTTCTACATTCTCATTCATCTTGCGTAACATTGATATTTCTTAATCAACTTTATACCGCTACTGCGATTTGCTACATTTAATGTTACTTTTAAGTTTTGCAACTTTGACAATAAGGTTCTGAGTCTAGTAAAATAATCATGAGAAACATCGCAGAAAGGGACCAATTCCAAGTGTATCAATCATGGCCCATCCCTGGGCAAACCTCTACATGTATTTTTTTTTTTATTTTTAATTTTACCGTTTATAATAAATTAGGCGTTTGTCGTTGGCGTAGCAGATCACGAGTCAGAAATATCCCCATAAATGTTATATATATACCATAAAATATAAAAATATATTGAAAATTTTCAATTAAAGAAATGTGAAAACAGACTAAATATGAATCAAACTAGCATGTTAATTTTTCCTAAGCATTAGAATTTTGTTGTTATAATCTGTATATTTTACAAAGTGATTAGCACTTTTAAAAAGTTCTTAATTTTGATTTACGTTTTTCAAAAGCCCTTAAAGGTGCTTTTTTTATTCAGGGTTTTTAAAAGTGCTTAATTTTCTATCTTTTAAAAAGAGATTTTTTCTTTGCCTTATTGATTGTCCTTCTAAACCAGGGTTGGCAAGTTTTTGACACATGATGGTTTTTTGTGGTTTATACCATGGTTTTTACCGTCATGTCAAAAAACCCATAGTTTTGATAAAACTGTATTTTAATTTGAGTTTAAATGCTTATGATTTAAAATTAATTCATTTTTGGGCAATAAAATTAGAAAAAAAGTTGTTAAAAGATATTTAAGAACAGGTTCTTGCATTTTCCCAACATGATTATATCAAAACATACTATTTGAAGTAAAATATTAGGATACTAAACAAAATTTTCAACATTTCCAAGCATCATTTTGTTTGTCATATTACATTACTGAAGAATGTCAAGTCATTCTTGACTTAGAGTTTGTTAGTAGTTACAAGTTTTGAAAGTTTTGTTTAGCTTATTTCTAATATTTAAGAAATGCCAAATTTTAAATTCTTCTTTTTAGTTCTTGAATTTATTAATAGTTCCAAGCTTTTTTGTTTGTTTGTTTATTTCTAACAATTAAGAAATGCAAATTTTTGAATCCTTTGCAAATCAAGCTATAATGATAAAAGCAAGTATCACTATTTTCAATAAGTATATTACAATATTTCTGCATGAATGTATATCCTTCTCTAAGAATGCATGTATATAGTTGCAAAATCAATAGCAATTGTTTACAACATTCATTCATAAAGGCAATTAAGTGAAAATAATATATTGTCCGCTATATGCCATAAATTAAAGAAAACAGTAGGTTTATGACAGCTTTTACCTGTAAAAACACGGTTTTTATCACTGTCATGTCAAAAACCAGTTTTTGATGGCAAAAACCCAACCCTGTTCTAAACTACAAAAAAATGCATGATTTTCACAATTTTCTATGCAATATTTATCAGAAATTAGTTTATTTTATCATGATTATGTAAAGTTTCTGAAATTATTTTAGAATTTTATTGATTTTATGTTTATAAATTAAGAACTTTAAAGGATAGAAGAAAATAATTTTTATAACAGCACAGATGATTTTTTTTTTTGGAAAGTGGTTAAAAATATTTTTTGAGTGTTTAAAAAGTACTTAAACTGTGCTTTTTGTTGTTGAAAAATTAGGCGACACATCCTGTTACATTAAAAAAACTACAATAAATGTGAAGAACATTTTTTGTTATGCTAATTTTGTTTCTTATTTTAATATGTTATGCTAGTTATGTAGTTTATACGTGTGTTTGGCTGGAGGATAAGAGGCACAATTGACTTGTATCTTGCACTGAGCCACAGGTTGTGGATCCATACCATACAGAAAAATATCAATACACAATTTTTCTTTTAAAAAATAAATTATAGATACTGTGTTTTGTATATATTACTAGGTGGACTGTTTCATTTTGATAATACATTTATTAATCAAAAATGAAAAAATAAACTATATGCATGAAAAAATTAATGTGACTGTTGCACTGCTGTCTAAACAAGAATAAATAGCTCATGAGAGAGCTTGCACAGTTGAACTGCCTTGTTTGAAGTTCTTCAAAGTAAAAACCCTTGTTTCTCTAGATTCAGTCTTTGATTCAGACAACGATAAAAAATGGAGTGGCAAGTGCAAAGGTGATGAAATGCATAGGCATACATTTTTAATATCTAACAGATACTAAAAAATTTAAACGAAAATTTTGCATTTATTTTTACATGTTTTGTAAAGGCATGTAACGTATGTTAACCATTTCAATTTTTTTTGTAAATTTTTTCAGGTTACAGTGACTCATAACCTGATTAGAGCTTACGATTTGCTTAAAAATGTTACTGTGATCCCACCCACTGTGGCTACAAAAGAAGAATTAAAATCTTTTCACTCTGAAGAATACATTGAGTTTTTATGTAAAATTAATGATATGACTGAAGAGGAAGTTCTAGATGAAGAAGAGGAAGAACTAGAAAAATATGGCATAGGTAAATACTTATTTTATTGATAGCCTTTTTGTTTGATTCCTTTGGGGTTTCGTGTTATCTTGTTTGAGGAAAGGATGGGCCTCATAAAGGTATAACAAAGGCTGGAGGAAATCAGTGGCATGGTTAAAGTTTTAGCAGCCTCAGTTATTGAGGCATTTTATAATAGTCAATAGAAATAGAGTTTTTTTACAAAGTATAGATAAAGCATTCAGTCAGAGCCCCGATGCCTCAGGGGATAGAGTGTTCGCTTTTCAATGAGGTGAACGGGGTTCTATCCCGGTGATGTCTGGTCAATACGAATTCTGCATCCGGCTTGCACCAACCACAGTGCTGACATAAAATATTCTCAGTGGTAGACGTATCATGGATTAGAGTCCGCTTGCCGTCAGGCTAACTGTGAGAGGTTTTCGTGGTCTTCCTTTCCTTCCTTGGAGGACTTTTCATCAAAAGTCCTCCAATACTTGATCCAGGAATTCCCACGTCTTCTGGCTTGGACTTAAAATTACAAGACTTTGGAGTTGAACATTAGTAATCATAAACCCAAAAATTGGGTTGGCTGTTCAACCACGGTCATATACAAGGTCCGGCTATTAATTTCCAGGACTGAGGTAACTGTAGGAGAAAGAAAAGCCGGAATATGGCGCTAATGATTGCATATTGAACAGTGTTTTCTTGCGCATGTGCAGTGCAATCGGCGCCATTCTGAAGTGAGTGGTTCTCGTGGAAAGGCGCATTAAAACGGAGCTCTTAAATTCCTGTTGTCGAAGTGAAATGGAGCAAAGAATTAACATTAAATTTTACTTCAAATTGGGCAAAACAGCTGCAGAAACCTACGAATTGTTAAAACAAGTTTATGGCAAGGAAGCATTATCTCGCTCAAGAACTTTTGAATGGTTTAAACCAGTGTTTCCCAACCTTTTTTGTGCTATGCCCCACCTAAGCCTTTCTAAAATTCCTATGCCCCCCTATGTAACCTATGCATAATTTTTAATATTGCAAATGCGAAATAATTTTAATAAAATTTTTCTATAATAATTTAATATTTTAATTTAGTGAGATCCTTGCGCTTGATACACAGAGATTTTACTTAGGTTCCAATTGGTTAGCTTCACTCTAAAGTCTCTCCGTTGTGTTATATCCAGACGATTTATTTTTTTACAAGTAAATCATTTACAATTTACAGCACTTAATCCACATTCAGCTAAATATGAAGATGGTAGCTGTAACAATAGTTTTCTTGCACATTTGGGTGAATTTGGGTATTTGATTTCCGTTTCCTCGCAAAGCCATGTCATCACTTCTTTTATATTAAATAAAGTTTTAACTGACTCATCATTTTGCATTTCTGCGAGTTCTTTTTGATACTGCATATTTGATATATCAGACAAATCCACTAACATTGGCTGCATCATCCATGTTGGAAAATCAATTTATTTTAAATCAGAAAATCTTTCTTTTAAATCAGTCGATAGAATTTTCAGTTGACCGACAATAACAAGTAAAGCGGTATCATTTACTTCACATTTTTGCAGCCAATGAAACTGTTCAAAGTTTTTGTTGTTAATATATTTCTGACGTAACTCAATAAGGGTATTGAAACCAAATATCTTCGCGTTTGCATCAACAAGAGTTTTATTTGTTCCTTGAAGTTGCCTATTTAATATATATAGTTTTTCAAAAATATCGGCAAAATAACTCACAAATGCTTTACCATCGACTACTTCATTTCAGGTTTGTCACTTAAAAAATCACTAAGAATATCAAACAGTTCCATAAATCTTTTCAAGCAGTTCCCTTTAGAGAGCAATCTTACTTCGGTGTAAAGTAAAAGTCTCACATGATCTGTATTTTGTTCTTCACAAAATAGCTTAAAGAGAAGCTCACATTTGGCAATAGCTTTAATAGCATTGATACACTTTATTTTATTACTGAATGTAGAACTTTATTCAGAACAGGCGAGATGTTTTTAGCTACCAAGTTTTCCCTATGAATAACACAAAGCACAAGAATCATTTCTGGATTATCATCTTTCATCAATTTTAAGCAACCATTTCTCTTGCCCATCATATTAAGAGCACCGTCTGTTGCAGGGCTCGAAAAACCACCCGTCCGCCCGTCCTCGGCAGTCAAAAATTCCCCGCGGACAACGAATTTCTCGAATTCGACGTCCGCGCGGACGGCCATTTTCCCGTTAATGTTCGTGATACATTTTCAGTTTTTGTTATCTTACAAGAGTCTAGTAGCTCCTCACTTCTAAAATGACCCACAATACAGCAACATACTGCGCATGGTGGAATTGATGTTTTCTCTGTCTGGTCTCAGCGGTTGAAAGGGGCTTTTCAGCAATGAACTTCCAAAAAAACACATTACGTACTGGTCTTAAACAAGAAGCGTTAAACGTAATTGTGAACATCTACCTAAATGGAAAACCCCTTTCATATTTCTGTGCAGAAGCCTGTAAATCATTGACTGATTGGGGAACTGGCAAACGTCATATTTGATTCATTTGAAAAACGCAGTACCCTGGGATAAATCGACATTCTAGATAACTTGACCTTT